ACCTCTGAAACTTTTCCCGCAATTCGAATTCGAATGTAGTTAATCCCTTCATTGCGCTGATTTGAATGTTCCGAAGGTTCTCCCTTTTGCCAACCTCTCTTTCCACTGCACTTCCATCATTCATTTGTTATTACCAACATGCTCTCGTAATTCATTACCCCGTGTTCAGAAAAAACGTGCAGCTAGGGCAAAGTATATATTCCATCTTCATTAATTTTAGATATTCCGTTGTTCAGAACTCTTTAAGAACTTGAGATATTTCATACCAGAAAAGGTGGCTGAACGCATCTATTGATCTCGCTGCAGTGGACACTAGCATGACATCTGGGCTGAAATCAGCCTGGAGGAGAATTCTAGCGACCGACTGTCTGATTTCCGTGGTTTCTCCGATCAATGCAAGGCGAATGCCGGAGCAGAACCCTCTCAAACGGGCCAGGGACCGTGCGAGACCTTTCCTTCCTCCTTTTTGTCCTCGCCCTTACACTCATTCACATGCACTACAGTACCATACGTGTCGGAATCACTAATTAATCCATCAATCAACCATTCACGAATTCACATGGAAATTGGCCCGGCCACTTAGGTCTGCATGTTCGTTGACAGATATGCGTTGCGGAATGCTTATGCGCCTGTTGCCGCAGCGGGCGCTGTTCTCGTCGCTTCACGAAAAGTTGAGAAAATTTACCTCATACGCAGTAATTACACCTTGTATTCAACGTAATAATGAGCGTACAAGAAAAATTATTCTATGCTTTAATTTTGTAAAAGTTTCTGTTTCTCGCAAAACAATGAGATGTGCTGTTAGGTATTTAAGGGTTTAAAGAGAGGACGCGACGCAAAGCTATGCAAACGGTCGACATGTTGCAGTCTCCCCGCGCCGCGCCGCCTGCTCTATGCTTATAATAATAATAATAGCTGTACGATTGTTCTCGCCGGGCCGCTTGCTGAATGTTAACGCTCGTTGCTATTCATGATTCTGATCTTACCGCGCCGCGCTCGGTCGCGACGTTCTTTCAGTTGTACTTGAGAAAAGAAACCAATGCAAATACGCAAAAGAAACTAATTTTGCCTGTAAAAATTAACTGATAGTAAGTTTGTGGTTTTGATATTCGCCTCTTTTTACATTCTCGCATACCACTTACTTAGTAAAGAGAAAGTAATGTAACGCTGCAGAGAAAGTAATGTAAAACGGTGAGAAGGAGGCCTTTGTAGAGAAGAACTTCCTCTCATATTTTGTGTAGTCAGAATTTACGTTTTGTGAGTTGTTGGTGACGAAAATCTTGTAAAAGGAGAAAACGACTGTGTGGCCGTCTGTGAATATCGCTAGCATATAAACCGTAAACAGAATTTCCACCAAATTTCGATATTCCCTTATCGATCTGCACTATTCCATTTGAAAGAGGCATAGCCCCTTGCATTTGAAATGGATATTGTGATTTTGGGATGCTACTTTATATGAATCCTTAAGGACATTTTCAAAGTGTTCTTAAAAATGGCTCCAAAATTGTGAACAATATTTGCCAGATAGAACAAAGTACGCCTACAAAATGATTTTCGTTGAATTTAATAGGTTTTAACAATTTTCGTTCAATTCTCGGAATTTTCGAAAATTGAAAGAGTTTATAATTTTTTCGGCGTCTTCCTTCATATTCAGTATTGAAGACAGAATTTTTGTTAATGAAATATGCTCTTCAAAATTAAATATTTAAATGAGATCGTGACAACGTGTTTTCAATATAAGTCGCATAATTGTGCGCGAAATAAAGGCATAAAAACAAGATTTTCTAAAAAAATTACTTGAAATTTTTCCTTCATGTTTCTTAATCGGATAGTGGGAAGTACGCTTATAAAAAGGGTGCGGGTCCGCTTCTCGTCGAACTCTGAAATTTTGGAAAATAGCAAAAATTATAAATAATAAGAGGTGCTGTTATGGTACCACTGGTTTCAAATTATAGCCTTTTGTATCTCTCGAGATTGAACCTCTCTCTATATGGAACCTATGTTTCAGAGTTCCTCTGTAGTCTATTGAAATATTTGTAAAATAGGTGTGCCAAATACGTTCATTCTAGCAGTATGTTTGCCAGTTGCTTGTTTTAAACAGCAATATTCTTCATTACAATAATGTATGAAAGTGGCAGATATATATATATATATATATATATATATATATATATATATATATATATATATATATTCCATTGCCAAATTATACATATTTATATTTATATATTTCTCTATATTCCAATTTGGAAGAAGCATTTTTGTATTAGACTTTATAATAAGATGGACTGTTCCTTGCATGCTCGATTTTCCTTTTCTTCGACCGAACGTGAACAGAAGCAAATGTGCGGTAAAGACACACTAATACCAGGTACACTAATTCGTACAAATCTAGCAGTGCATGATTTTCATCTCATGAAATGCGAAGACACAACAATACCACAATCTAGCAGATACATGTGTCAGTGAACTCTGTGGGAACTCGTGCTGCACCTACTTGCTCATCGAAAGGGACAATTGAAAGTATCAAATACTTCAATATTCAAATACGAGTATGAATATTCAGAGATAGGAAATGGTGTTGAGAACTAGAATTAGCAATTAAAATTTTCTTAATTCTATGCTAGTGCGCTTTGTAGTTAATTTTCAATGTTTTAATTTTTCTGTAATTGTGATTTTTAAAGACAATTCAGCACTTTTGGATCGGGCTGGATGCTAATGAGAATTAAGTTTACAGTTCTTGGGGTTGTCATAGTGACCGTAAATACATGTTTATTTTTTATCTTTTATTGGGTTAGAAAATGTAATTATATTTAATTTAATTTGGAAGAAAATTTTCGTGTTGTGGTCGTCATGTCACTCACAGACGACATCGCAAGCACTTCCTTGGTCATCACTCCAGCAGCCCATCTTATCGAAAAAAGGTACTATTTACATGCCAGGGTTCGTGATCACAGCGGTCTCAGTGCCGCTGGATTGATTGGAATTTGCCACGTGAGCACTGTTTACGTGGTCTAGCGAGTGATATCGTCATGTAAATCGACGAGAATTCCAAAGATTATCTCAAAGAGACAAAGAGTACTGCATGGGGTGAGCGTGGCGTAGAGGTCAGTGGTGTGTGTAGACGACGCCAGTCGGACGATGTCCGGTAACTCGTGTTGCCTGTCCTCTGGCGATAGCGGTCACATTACCACTTGCGCTGTTCTTCTTCTCAGTGTGTGACCTCGTGGTTTTAATAGATAGGCTGAGAAATAAGATGAAAATAAAGCAGTTTCGTGCTCCTTATAAACCGCGATTAGGCGATAGGGTTGCAGTAGCTTTTGAGTTGTTGTTACAGACTGTCTCTGGAGCTGGCGTGGAGTAACACTATTCACCATGTGGGACTTAATGGGTTCTTTCTTCCAGTACGTAAGCCAGATTGTGTATGTATATTGTTTGCACGAACAAATGTGTTTCATATTAATGCGAACATGTTAATGGGGGATGGTAGTCGCATTACAATCCTCGAGCAAATTTCAGGAAAATTGATTCTTTCAATTCGTTTATACATAACTTCACAAAAAATTTTATAACAAATTATCAACTTCACAGGTTGCAGTGAATTTTTACATTTTAAATATGAAGAGATTGGGTGCGAGCGAGTCTGTTTACTAAGCGCCATGGGATTAAATTAAAACACTCCAAATTCAGCTAGGCTGCATGGTAATAAAAATATTTTGATGTTAATTTTGAATAAAAACCAAAAGAATGGCGCAGGATTATTTTTCAGTGAACCCTCTAGATTTTCGAAAATTGCAAAAGTTAGAAATAATGCGCTAAAGCATGTGCTGTTGTAGCACAAGTTTACATAATTGTTACTCATTCGTATCGTTTTATTGTATATTTATGTACCATACTACATACTTTTTCCGGCTTCTAATGATTGCTATTTTATTCCGATGATCTAATATTTCTTTGTGACTGTGAATAGTATTTTTCGACAATTATACATTGCTCACAAAAGCACTAATAAGTAATTGGAATTTAGGAATTTAATTAGGCCATTAGAGTGATTGCAGATGACGATAATAATTAACTCCTTCCCCAATTGGAATTCATCAGGAGGAAAAGCAGTCTCCATCCTACATTGCATAAGTTATTGAAATGGGACGGTCATGCAATGACATCGATCTTCTTCGTGATCCAATTTGTGATAACTCGGGGCAGAATTGCTGATTAAAATTGGATTCAACATTCAATTACTCATTGAAGCATATTAGGGATGTAAGGCTTTCTAAATGTTGAGTGAACGTCTCCACTTATTCTCCGATTACATACAACTCCAGGGAAGCGGAGGGTGATGAAGTTCGGGAACTGGTAATTGTAACTTATTAAACTTACTAAAAGTAACTTATTAAAAAGTGATATATCGTCGAAAGAAAAGTTTCATAGAATTTAGATTAAAGGATACGTATGTGCATATCAGATTTGCGTACAAGTTTGATTTAAATAAAAAAAAAAATATTGGATTTACTTGTTAGTTTTTACTGAAAAGTCATAAGCCGTATGATGTATGTACTTCTTGTTTTAAATAATGATGTCAATACTCCGAAAGTGATATATTTAAGTCACGTATTGAAATTCTCAATCATTACGCGTACCAGTCTTGTAATAATTACTATAATTGGCAACTTCCTTTCAAATACTGATTTTAAGAAAAAGGGTTTAACCGGTTAATTGTCAAGAGGCGAGCCGAGCCCAGCCCAGACCCACTGACTGCCTTTTCGGCGGCTGGCAGTCTGGGGCAGCGTGTCGCACGCCTGAGGCCACAGGGCGCGGCACGCCGCGCGCGCCACACGGCGGCCCACCGCAACACTTCTCCGCGAGAAAGAGAGCGTATGGAAAGGAATGGGAGGGGAGGGGGGATCAGCTGATCCGAAGTGGTGGGGTGCGCGCCAGCGGCTCGGCCCCGCGCGCCGCGCGCATGCGCCGTGACGTCACGCCACCGCCGGCTGTTTCAGGATGAGCATTAATGGCGCCAGGAGCGCTGCGCCGACTGTCAATGCTCCGAGCACCGACGGCGACGCCACAACGTTGAAAATGTCGGACCTGCGACGCGACCGGCTGGGCCAGTGGACCTTTGGCGATGGTTGCGACGCGGCCACGGGGCAGGTGCGCGGCCTGGACCACCTCCGAAACCCGGCCCTCAACAAGGTAGGTGGCTCGCCCGCCGCTGCAGCGTGTCCCACTCAGCGCGACCCGCGTCGGGCGGCTGTCACGCAGGCGAACATAACCTCTCTTTTGGCGGGCGTGGAATGACGCCGCAGGCCCCGCGAGGTTTGACACGCGTGCAGGCGCCTGCTACTCGCCGTGTGCCAGGCAATCAATCGATAAGCGGTCGCCGACTCATAAAAATGCCACAACCGCTGACCGCTGCCACTGCGTTGCGACGACAGTTGACGTACGGGAGTGCCAGGATCACTAACACTTGTTTTTATAGCGTACCGTTATGCGATACCGTTTAAGCGAGAGTGCAAATCAAAGCCGCCAAGGTTAAACAGACGGCAAATGCTAATACGATTCCTCATGACATATTCAACTTTTACTTTTTATATCCGTTGCTTTGAACGGGGATTATTGTGGCGCGCTTTTGTGTAGCGGCAGCTACAGCGGTTGCGGTAACATCGGCGGCGGCGGTCACGGCAGGCGCCCTTTAGCTCCCATCGCTATTTATCGCACTGCGGTCACACTGGTCCAGTCACTTTTTCTTTGTCGGTGAATTGCCAGGTACGGGGCAGGATATCGCGGTACCTGCTCCATGACAAGGGTTTGTTTTCTTCCTGCGTTAAAACCGGTTGAAACTACACATCACTACTGTTCAGAGTTCTGCATATTGGAAAAATGATGCACAAGCTTTCCTTTTTTCGGAATTAATTTTGAAGGAACTTTTTAAAGAAGCAAGAAAAATGTTGGATTGTTTCAGCTAAGGGAAAGACGTCTTCTAATCTAAAGATATTTTTTCGACTATAATCAACGCAGTCAGTATCAAACTCAAATCAACCCCCCTCCTCAAAAAAAAAAGAACAAAAGTAGTTTCTCCTTCGTTTTCGAAGAACCCAGGAAATTCTGTGCTCATCTATTGTCAGCTTAACTAATTTTCAAACGTCTTTCGTGTAGTTTGCGACATGCTAATGTGGATCTCACCACTTTACCGAACACATTTCAAATATTATTCTTGTAAACTTCCTTATCATCCAACAGCCATTTCATGAAGATGTAGCTAATTTCATACATATTCAAGTTCAGACATATTGTGTCACCGTTAGTCTTGAGAGTGACAAGTAAAATTGACGTCACGTGTAAGATAAAAAAAATTTCGTAAATGGATAAAATTTGACCAACGTATTTCCGTAGTCATGTTGTTTACATCTTGACGCAAGTTATTATGGAGGTAACTTCAAGCAATGTGAAGCAATATTGCTTGATGAATATTACTTGTGATGTTTGTCATGGTTAGCTTCCTGACATGAACAAAATACTGGGAAAGTAACGAGGAGGAAAACATAGAAATATGAAGTTCCCAGCGTCGTTTGGAATCATACTGAACAAAAGTCTAATGATTCCCGAAGCAAAATTACGATTGTTAATTATGTGACTATTACACAATAATTAAGGAAATAATGGGAAGCGAGAACCCAAGTAAATTTCGTTTAACGACTGTTTTTATTCTTTTTGAATTTATATGATGCAAATAGTGAAAAAAAATCAATTCACGATTTTGAATACGGATTGTCAGTTTAGCAAATTGTTGGTAAAATAATAATAACAACGAACTTACAGATTGAAAACCAATGTCATTCTTCAGTGACTCTACATATTTTCATGCGTTCGATTATCCATACGGACTCCCTCGAAGAATTGGTGCATGCAAAAATATTGAATAACCCGATAAAAAGATTCTTGGTACGATTGTAATCAATAGTGTCTATCGATTTCGTCTTGATTCTTGTTTGAAAAACGACAAGAAGTACTTTTTCTTTAATTTATGTGTGTGTTTTACTTTATTCAGCATACAAATTCAGAAAGGGAAACAAAACATGCGAAATTTTCGAAATTTGCGTGCGAAATTTTCGTGCCGAGAAAGAAACATTCAGCGAAAATCTCGTTTTTCATATCACGCTCTAGAGACGAGTGAGCATACAACCCGAACCGCTCGCCGAATGCCCGTTTTCCAGCTTTCTCCGTCACTCATAACATCATCGGTTTCTATGCCGAGAGAGTTGCTGAACTGTTCGAGGAGAACGGCGGGCGCTGTAAGAGACTTAACCAGTGATTTTCTGCCTTTTTTCTTTTTATTTCTAGCTTTCAGTTGTGTTGAGAACTTGCGTCAGGCAACTATGAGATAATGAGTGATAAAATGGTTGGTATAATGAAGTAAGTGCCATCTCCAAAATTCTAAGGTGGAAACACCCACGACAACCAAGATTTTCGCGTGTTTCCCGTCCATGATCTTTCGTTCCTCGTCACAGTCGTCTCTGAACTTACCGATTCGTGAATAAAATACTTCTTAATCGAGGACCTGATACCAGTAACCTAACATGTGAATCGGATAGCTTTGAACCCAAGAAGCACCGAAACGAACCACTATTTTGAAAAAAAAGTCAGTACATAATGAAAAGAAATTTACTTATGTTATCTCGTAACATTAAACAATCGTCTGAACGTCATTAACAATGGCACTGTAATGAACGATTCCACGAAGCATTTTCTTAAGGTTCATTTCCACAATCAATTGGTTTCGCTCTGCCGGTGTCCTACAACAAATAAATAAACGCAAAAACCGGTTTTGGGATCAATATTTTCTGAAACCTTTTCGGATCACGTCCCCTCCCCTTCTCTTCCCAGGGGGGCGTCACCGCAGGCGGCAGCGGCCGGGCGAAGTGGGCGGGGTTGTTGGCCCCCGTCCACCGCCGAAGGGCCTTAAAATAAAGTCGATTCGCTGTAGCCGATCTAACAACCCACGTCCTGTTCGTAAACATTCTCTCCCCAGCGGACCTTTCCTACGCGGTTGCGATATGTTAATTTTGATCTCTATCGCTCGCCTTCGTAATGCCGCTCTCGCGCCTCGTAATTTGTGATCGAGATCGATCCGATGTGACATAATTGCTGCGGTTGCATTTGCATTTGGGGTTATTTGCATAATAGTTGGCCTCGGGCGGCGTCTAACGTATCGGATGGTATACGCGTTGTCGGAAGGAATTTGGTCTGCGAGGCTTCAAGTGTGACGGTGACGGGTTCCCAGAACGGCTCGCCGGAGGGTGCTCTCGCCTTTAGGCAGCTGCGTTTGCGCGCTCCCGAAATAGACGTCTTCTGCCGCAGTTCTTTGACTCGCAGGCTACCGGCTCACGATGCTGATACATCTTCCCCTTCCGTCCTCTGATTTTGACATGAAATGCATGAATAATTCAAGAACAGGATGAATGGGAAATATGATAGGGTAGATTCTCTCCTGATCTTTTGAAAATAATTCGTGTACTAGAACGCATTAATAATATTTTTGCATTTAAAAAATGGAAACATACTATTTACTTTTGTTTTGACGTTTTTATTCACTGACACATTTGAGTATGCCATACACGATCGTCGAGAAACGAATCACGGACTGTCATGTATTTCTGGAATATCTTTCCTTGGATAGTAAATAGCGATTCAAGTGAGCTAGTTGTGAAGTAACTGAATAATATTCACTTGAGTACTAGAGTAACTAGCTAGAAAAATCGCAGAACAATCGCTATTGAGTATGGGAATACAATAACTTGATCGACGTATATTGTGTTCAGAACATTTTTCAACTTGAATATTTATGTCAAAATACGATATAAAGTAATATACGTTATTTCATGTAATCTGTTCTTCCGACGCCATTTGTGGAATATAACGAGTTTGTACAAAATAATAAAGTTCGCGTAAAATTTTAAAGAAGCCGCTTTTTAAATTTACTTTTCTTTGTGTTCTCTTTGTAAGGTCATTGAAGAGTTACCTTATAAAGGCATTCTTGGAAAGACTGTCTCTATAAATAACTCATGCAAAAATAGGAGAGTTATGTGAACGTAAAGCTTTGTCCCGAGAACTACATTCCTATTCTTTGGCCCGTGAATACCACTCCGTTTTCCTTTGTTCATTGCTCGCCACTCGTCTACGTCTTCTTGAAATCTTTTGGATATTGCAACTATTCCCGAGACTCTCGTACTTTAGGTACGACAGGGAAATGCTGTAGGTATCGGTGAATGTAGCGCTTTCTTCTATTCTTAAGCAGAGCAGTGCAGCGGCCGGGTCTTTCCGCTAGTGACGCTGCTTGTTTACCGACGGCGGTCAGAGGGCGGGCAGTGTTACGTCCTGGTGGGAGGATGAAACTCCCTGGGGTTTCCACGAAACGTGCGGGAAGTATTTAGAGACGATTCACCGTGACTCGGGGTTTATTGATGCTTTAGACTCGAATGGGGAAAGATGGGAAAGGCTGGAAGTTCCCGCAGACAGAAAACCGGGTTGCTTTTCTGATGGAGCTACATTACTTGATCGATATGGATAACGGATTAACACTGCCACAAAACAATCAAAGGGGATTGCGATTCGATATTGATTTCATTGTAACTTGGGAACTATGTTTGACGGTTTACGTTCTAAAGTGCCTTATCTTTATACATTTTTCAACCATATAACTCAAAAGTTGTTTCATTTTTGAATTAAATTTACTTAATCAACTTAGCAATTAACGTGTACATTGGGTAAATGTTAAGAATTTCTATGATTTCCCGTAGTAGTTAGCATCATTGGAAGATTGACGACGCAATGCATTTACAAATATCATAATGAACTAGATAATTGATGTTTTGTGTACTTGTTTTTAAAAATACAGGTTGATGATCGTAATGCTTTCGAGTGACTATACAATTGCAAGATATCGAATGATTTCAACTGACTATATCATTAAGTTATGTAAATACTGCCTATATTATCGAATTCATTCGCTACATTAAACTATACACATTCTAGAGCATTTAGCTATTTCACAAAAGGAAACTAAATCGTCAATATTATGCTGAAAAGAAACCTGTTTCGGTACAGACTCTGACGTCATGAAGTCGAACCTTGACATTTCTCGCATCCTTGTCCTTTCAGCATGACAATGACGTTTTCAAAACGACACTCGCTTC